TATTCTAAACAAGAATGAGTAATCATAATAAAATCTCAATAAAAAAGAAAAGTTCATTGTTTTTGTTACACTGTTATGCCATTTGGTTTGAAGAATGCCGGTGCTACATACCAACGAGCAATGACGAAGATCTTTCAAGAGCACCTCCGGAAGACTGTCGAATGCTACGTTGATGACCTGGTCGTTAAGAGTCGTGATAAAAATGACCACATTAACGATCTAAAGACAATGTTCGAGCTTATGAGAACTCATCAGCTGAAAATGAACCCAACTAAATCCTTCCTTGGAATGTCAAGCGGTAAATTTCTTGGATTCGTCGTCACCACAAAAGGCATTCATATTGATCCAGATAAGGTGAAGGCAATACACGAGGGGTTCGTCGTCACCACAAAAGGTATTCATATTGATCCTGATAAGGTGAAGGCGATAAACGAACTGCAGCCTCCAAGAAATCTTAAAGAACTCAGAGGATTGCAAGGTCGATTGGCATATATCCGTCGGTTTATATCGAACTTGTCCGGAAAATGTCAACCGTTTTCCAAACTTGCGAAAAAAGGCGTGTCTTTCGTTTGGGATGAAGCATGTCAGAAGGCATTCGAGGATATTAAGAAATATCTGGCGAATCCACCTATTCTCGTTGCACCGAAATCGGGCAGACCGTTTTTGATTTATGTCGAGCAAGCTGTGTATTATCTGAGTCGTACATTGGTAGGAGCTGAGTCTCGTTATCCGATGATTGAGAAGGAATGCCTCGCTTTGGTATTCGCGATTCAGAAAATGCGACATTATTTAGTCGGACAGACGATTTATGTCATTTCCAACATAAATCCCGTCCGAGTGTTCATGACCCAACCGGCTTCCATGAATTGGCGTCTGGCCAGATGGGTTTTACTCTTATCGCAATATGACTTGTACTTCAAACAGCAGAAATCTGTTAAAGGACGAGCTATTTGCGACCTTCTGGTGGAAAACCCTACAAAATACGTAGTCGAATTGTACGACGACCTGCCAGATGAAACTCACGAAGTTAATACCACCTCATATCAACAAGTGTGGCAATTGTACTTCGATGGGGCTTCCCGATCAACCAATGTGGCAAGTGCACCCGGATGTTCTAAAATCTCCTCAGGAGTGGGGGTCGTTTTAGTTTCCCCGGAAAAGCACATCTTGCCTAGAGCATATTCACTGACAGAACCATGCTCTAATAACGTGGCCGAATACAATGCATTAATAATCGGACTTAATTTCGCCAAAGAGCTGGGGGTCGAATACCTTGAAGCTTTTGGAGATTCTCAACTGGTAGTTAATCAAATACGAGGAGAGTATGAAGTCAGAAATCGAGACCTGATTCCATACTACCAGGTGGCCATCGAGATGGCAAGCTCGTTTGAAGAATTTTTCATCGAGTACGTTCCGCGTCTCCAAAATGCATACGCAGACGCATTGGCAGCATTGTCGGTATCCTTGGCTCAATCTCCCGAAACAGAGCAATTGATTACAGTGAGGACTCACCAGCTTATTATTCCAATCTACAATTCGAATGCTAAAGAAGCATACTCAACTGGAGTTGAACCCGAAGTTCGAGATTGGCGTTTTCCCATTATCGACTATGTCCTACATGGTATATTGCCTGAAGACGTAAGAGAACGGGAATCGATTCGGCGAAGAGCACTGAGATTTTATTACAATGCCACAGCGCAAATGTTGTATCGACGATCGTATGATGGTCTTTTACTCCGTTGTCTATCCAGTAAAGAAGCGGAACAAGCACTTAAAGAGGCGCATGATGGGATATGCGGGGCACATCAGCCCGGTCCTAAACTCTGTGATCGGCTTAGGAGAATCGGGTATTACTGGCCAACTATGGTAAAAGACGCAGTCGACTACGCACGACAATGTGAAGTGTGTTAGTTACATGCAAATTATATACACCAGCCTCCTGAGTATTTACACCCATCGGCGACATCATGGCCATTCGAAACTTGGGGAATGGATATAGTAGGCCCTATTTTCCCGCCTTCGGTTAAAGGAGACCGTTTCATTTTGGCAATCACCGATTATTTCTCAAAATGGGCAGAAGCAGTTCCACTTAGAGAAGTAAAGACGACTGATGTCATCAAATTCATTAAACACCATATCATATATCGGTATGGTGTGCCAAGGCGAATAGTACACGACAACGGTCCTCAGTTCGTGAGCAATGCATTCATCAAATTCTGCGGTAAATTCGGGATTAAGGACGTTTCATCGACTGCTTATAATCCTACAGCTAACGGATTGGCCGAAGCTTTTAATAAGACTATCATCAAAATTCTGGCAAAATTGGTGAAAACCAATAAACGAGATTGAGACGACAAACTCGGCGAAGCTCTCTGGGCTTATCGTACAACCGTCCGCACGCCTACCGGAGCCACCCCGTATGCTTTAACGTATGGGTGTGAAGCCGTCCTTCCATTGGAAATACAGATTCCTTCTCTCCGTATCGCTCTCGTAACGGGAATGACGACAGAAGAACATCATCAGAAACGTCTCGAGGAATTAGAGATGTTGGATGAGAAACGCTTGGAAGCTCAATAACAAATCGAGTTTTATCAAGCTAGAATTTCTCGGGCTTTCGATAAAAAGGTCCGACAAAGAAGCTTTAAAGAAGGAGATCTAGTTCTCGCTATTCGAAGGCCTATGATTCTCACTTCTAAGAAGAAAGGCAAATTTGAACCTAAATGGGAAGGACCGTTCGTGATAGAAACAGTATACTCAAACGGTGCGTATCGCCTGATTACTCAGGATGGCAACAAATTGATGATGCCAATAAATGGGAAGTTCCTGAAAAAATATTATCCGTAATACGTTCAGGATAACCTATGTAAAACGGGAAGTTCCTAGAGAATCCTGTATAGGATATTTCAGGATAACCCAATATCAGTTGATTATTCTAAATGAAAACTGATCATGTGAATGATCTATTCTTAATTATTATAAAAATAATTAAGATCCTTTTACTACTTTTGTTGAGATGAGATTTAATAACAGTTAATCTTTCCTCACAAAACCCTGTAATATGATTATGGAAGATGAGATTCGATGATTTGTAATCTCACACTATGAAACCCCCATCGGTCGGATTGATCAATGATCATCAGTCTGTATCAATCGACAGATTATTTCTTGTCAAATTCTTATGTTCGAAATCAAAATTTCTCACTGGGTAGTTTGTGCAAATCAACGAATTCATTGTTATTTGCACCCTACTCCAATTCCTCAATTGATCAAACCTTTAAATAGTTAAGACCACAACCAAAATCCCCTCTTGATTCCTTCAATGAACGAGAGGCCCACAAATGGAACGATCAAACCTTCCTATAGTTAGGATCGTTTCAAAACTCCCACTTGGTCAAACCTTACTACAGTTAGGACCACAGCCAAAATCTCCTTTCGATTCATTTTGCGAACGAAAGGTCCACTTTTGAATGGAATAATCAAACCTTATGACAGTTAGGATTATTCAAACCAATCCAGATTCTCTAAGTGGAGATTCCACTTCAAGTTTTCTTTACACCAGGAGATAGAATATAAAATTCTTCCTCTCCGATTCTGGGTTTATCTCTACCAACAAACAAGAGACCAGGAGATAGAATATAAAGTTCTTCCTCTCCGATTCCGGGTTTATCTCTACCAACAAACAAGAGACCAGGAGATAGAATATAAAATTCTTCCTCTCCGATTTCGGGTTCGTTGTCCTATATAGGAAACGCAACCTACCCACACTTCAAAATCCATGTTGTTCATACATGGGGGATGTTATCTCTATCCCTTATTAGAGATAAGCCTACATCTAACACATGTAGCCTACATATTCAACATTCTAGTCTAAAGTCTAAAAGAGTTTAATTCTTTTAGCATAACGTTATATGTGAAACGGACCTAGATAATTCACATACTAGCCCGACTCAAACGGTAGTCGGTAAAGGCATATCAAATCCGTTGATGGCTGAGGATTTGCCAAAAATCCTATGAGTATTATGATTGTTTATTCTAAACAAGAATAAGTAATCATAGTAAAATCTTAATGAGCAAAAGGGTTCATTATATTAACCGAAAAATGTTCAAATGAAGCTACAAAAATATATATTCTCCAATTACAAAAGTTTATATTGACTAATTTGATTTTCAAGTTTTGACAGCTCTAACGCATAAGTCTGTTCAAGCTCAGCCGTCAATTTAATTTTGAAAGCTTCTTCATCAACACTTTGAAGCACGGCGACCTCTTGTTCCTTTTCAGCAATTATTTTATCTTGAAGGTTCAGTTGCTGTAACAGATTTTCTTCAATATGAATTTCCTGCGTCAACTCGGACTCCAAGACATCATGAGCATCCTTGGCCATTGCAAGTTCCTCCTCTAAGCGAGCTATTTCCGCTCGACTCGATTCTAGATCTCGGTGTAGGTTGGCCTTGGCTTGTGTTCTTTTGCCAATATTCTCCCTAATTTGATCGCTTCGGGCTCTTAAACTTTGAAGTTCGAGATTAGCTGATTTTTGAGAATCATGCCACACTTGCAACTCGGATTCCATGCGGGAAGCGATATAGGATGGTACGCCTTTGGTACGAAGAGCTTGCAGATGTTCAACATGTCGCTTCAAATCAATCAGATAAGCGTTGATTGAATCGGCTAAGTCGTTATACCCTTCTTCTCTGAAGCCTGATATAAAACGATCAAGAGATTTTTTATAACTCTCAAAATACGATCTTTTGAAGAGAATACGATCGACCATGGAGTTCATAAAGGTAATGAAGCCTTGGAGATTGGAACAGATGACAGCCTTGTCCGGATCGTCGTCGACCAATAACGCTTGGAATGAAGCCTTGGAGATTGGAACAGATGACAGCCTTGTCCGGATCGTCGTCGACCAATAACGCTTGGATGTGATCTGATAATGATGAAGGAGCTGCGATGAGGGCAAATAAGTCAGTACAGGACATATATATGCATACAAAACAACAAGCTAAAGCATACCAAGTTCGATGGAAGAACCTTCAGCATGACTTGGTTCGCCCAAGGATGGTAGTCTGGCTTCTTGAACAATCAAGGTTGGTTCAGGAATGGTCGCTGTTGATGCACCCGCTACATCAGGGACTTTTTCAACTAAAGCCTCAGAAGATAGGGGGTCCAAATTGAGAGGCTCCTTAGGAGAATATTCTGCGAACAAGAGAATCTCAATGAGTATGGTAAAACGATAATCAGAAATTTAAAACAAATGATGGGTAAAACTCACCAACTCTAGGCACAACATCAGCCGACGTACCAACGTCTTCAGTTGGTCTCGCTTTTGTTGCAACCGGACTAATCTGGGGAGTGACAGTGACTTCTATCATCATGGGATCCATAGGAGTGGAAGGTTGAGGTTCAAGAACGAATGATTGCAAATCAACCTCAGTTCCTGTCCATGGCACGAGTTCACTACCCTCCGGCCGATCAGATGTTCCAGTGATTATAGTAGTATCAGTTCCAGTAGCTGGTCCTATAATTCAAATAATTATATGATTAATCAAGTCAAAATATATACGTATATATATATGGAGTTCACAGAACCAAAGTCTTACTCTCAGAAGGACCTGCTTCTGTTGAACCAGTTCCGACATCTGATCCTATAGTGGCATCAGAAGCCTTCCCCAACAAGAAATCGGAGATTTGCTAATGGTCGTCCTCTGAAATATTAAAGTCAAAATCATTAAAATCATCGACTTTGGTGGCATGAGTAGCTTCTCCTTCAGTGGGCTCATGAATCGTGGCATCTACGGAACGTATTAAACCATAAGTAACACGTAAATTTATACGAATTTGCTCAAAGGACGTTTAACATTACCTTGTTGAATCGGGACGGATTCGGGAGCTCCACTACTTGTACCTGCTTCTTTTAATTTGACTAAAAGGAGAGAAAGCGCACAGGTCATTAGAGGAGGCACACGGTCCGACTCATTCATTTCTCGGATTTCTCTTCCGAGAGGAGAAAGATCAGTACCTGCGTCCGTAGCTGATGGATCAATGTCAGGAGTTGATGGAACATCAGCTGGTCCTTCCTTCAGAGCATCCTGCATCTGTTGGACAAAGCTGGTCTCTTCAGTCTCCATACCACCAGGAGAAGCAGCTTCAACTCGATATTCTCCCTCTTCTTGACTTCCTATAGACGTCGAAAATAGAATGAGTTCGAGCTTTAAGAAGCGTGAAAATGATAAAAACAAATCGTTACCTTGTTCATCAGAAGAAGCACTACGACCAGACGTCTCTTCTGGAGCAGGAAGATGAACGCGTGGTTTAGAGGCAGCCTTCTTTTGTTTCTTCGATGGATGCCCTTCAGAACCTTCATGACGATATTTAGTGGGAAGTTCAGCTCTGGGAGAAGCTTGAGTTGGAGCCTGAGTGGAAGATTGAGATCTTTGCCTACGAGCAAGAGGCACTGTATCCTCTTCATCCTCTTCATCCTCTTCGTCGCAGCTCAGAACTTCTACCGTCATCCGGTTAGGATATTCCATGATGACTCTCTCTTTCCGTTTTTTCGGAGCAGCTTGTGATTGAGTAGGAGCAGCAGATGGGCACACAAGTCCCCTATCAAAGAAAGAGTCAGGGAGACCAGATGCCTCTTCAGAACTTGAATTAGTTTCACCTTCCCCTTCAGAAGTTTCGGTCGCTTCACTATCAAACTCCTCTTCACTATCCGTTGGGCGGGACGGTTCTTTTCCTTTTCTCGAGGATTCAGCAGTTTCTTTTCCTCGAGTTGACACCCCAGTTTCACGAGTCGTCTCTGTCGCTTGCCGTGGAGCTGCCTCTGCCTCTGAGTCTGATACTCTCCTGCGTCGAGTGACGATATTAGCGGCAATTAGCCACTTACAAAAGAGGAAGGTCATCCGTAAGCGCGGCGCCTCCAAAGGCAGATCGAACTAAACATTCGTACAGCCGGCGATGCTCCAAAACCAAGCCCTCGCCCCGTCGATAAGTCCACCTCGAGAGCTAAGATGGCGGTTCAGATTGCCAACATATATCTGATCATATCCGAACTGACGGGCGAATCGACATGGAAGATAGGGTTCGATATGACAAGTATCTCTTACCCTGAACAACAGATATCCAGGTCGAATATTCATCAACCATCTGAAGCACCCGACATCCAAGATGGTACGATTCTGCCTTGGGTCTTCAGAATCCACTAAGGTAGTATTATAGGTACCGGAGAACTGAGGGAAGCAGGGGAAGAATTCCCAACACTTGTGAATTTTAAACTGCCTCGTTATGTCCGGTCCTCGATGCTTAGTCCATTTGCAACATTCAAGATTCTGTAACAGGGGGATGCTGGGATTTACCATCTCAGAAGCCTCCATTAAATCTGGCCGGTGAAGTACTAGCCAAGTCATTAGATAAGTATAGGGCAGCTCCAGTTTTGGAACGGACAGGCTGGCGGATGGTTTCTTTTTCTCCTGAGTAAACACGGAGATTAATTGCTGTAATCCACTGTGAATAGCGGCCACCATGGCGGGAAGCAAAGATAATTTGCGACCTGTAGCTAGCTGGACAGCCGGATACAACACTTCCATTGGCATTGTGTCTGAGGACTGGTGGGGAACTACGCACCTCTTTAGCCATAAAGCCAGAAAACCCGCCAGCAAAGCAATAGGGCTAATCGGAACACTAGCTTGCCACAGATAAGGGCGGAACTTAGTGCCGTGCGAAAATCCATCTTCTGAGCGCGAGGTATAAGATTACGCCTTGGTTTTCTCTAACAGACGATTGATTTCACCAGTACTCAAAGGAGACAATCCGCACACATCTGCCGAACGGTCATCCAGGTTCTTGAAGAGGTAATCAGCGAACTGTTTTAAGCTGACCTGAGGAAATTTCTTTCTGGCTTTGGGCTCCATCTCGGCCATAGCTATATGATAATGGCAGGTCAATTCCCATAAAGTGTCATGGGTCACAGTTGAGCTATCTTTCATCATGTTCAGCTGATTGGTGGTCGGAAAGAACTCTTGATATGGAACATCGCCCATAGGCAAAGCAGACACCTGCATCATTTCATGCAGTGGTAGTCCGAGCTCCCCGTTCTTGGTAAAGAATGTATTAGTGTCCGGGTTGTAGATCTCGAACAAATAGAGGAAATGACCTACACTAATCTGCAGGCCATGCATGGTGGCACGAATCGGGACATCCAACCCTAATTCTGCTAATTCTCGCCCAAAACGGTTCAACACATATCGGGTCATCCTGGTCCACCACCATTTGTCTCCAGAATAATGGACCCATCCATAACATCTAAAAGTCTCTCTGGGTAATCTTTTTCCCGCTGCTGCTAACCGGTTTTTCACGATGTTGGCTTGCACTATCTTTTCATTCTGAGGTATATTGTCTTGTCCTAAGACACCTGGATGAAGTCCCCGCACATGAGCTCTTTCACTGGAACCTGGGGTGACTTCCTTCCCGATGAAACCACAATGAATACGCTCGTGGTTTTCGGTTAACTTCCAGAACATCTCACGTCCAACCGATAGATTATGGAACTTTAACAGTGAGTGATCCCGAGGGATAAAAGGCAGATATAAGAACGATGACCCACTCTGGTGCAACCATTGCGCGGGCTTGCAGAAAGCAATCTCCGGATCTTTCACATAGTCACCAAATAAAAAATCCGGCTTCCATATACATTGATTCGAGTCTTGCTCCGAAATCAAGGTGACATCCGTGATTAACCGTCGTAGGACACGACAACTACCTCGCCGGATTAATTCTCTATCACTTTCGCTATAACCAGATTTGAACTGGGGAGATGACTCAATTAACGGAATCCCCTCATAATAAGAATGGGTCACGCTACTCCGACCCGTAACCGCATCAGTATTAAAGATGGAAGAAGGAAATCACACTGATAAAAGAAATATACACATAAATTGTGTTAGTATCGCCCTAAAATTTTAGAGAAAAACGGTATATCTTACTCCATAAGATATAGTCGCTATCTCATAACAGGTGTGACGATTTTCTATCCACCACATGTATAAAGGAGATATACGGGCATTATAACGGCATACCAAAACCTTTCAATACATGTGGGATGATATGAAATCGCCCCTGTGTATTATGAAGTGTGTTTTGTCCAAGCAAAACAAACACTTTTAAGCGTCGATCCCCTCAAAGGAGGATACCGGCTCTTCTCGAGGGTATCTCAAAGGATACAAACGAAGATCTGCAAACAAATACAGGAACATATATATGGAATTGATGAAATACATTATTTAAATTCGTGAAAGGGTGAAAGAGATATACCTCCGCGTGAGATCGTAGCAGGGACAGCCTCCTCAGGGCTCTGAACAGTCGGACGGCCTCGGGTTCCTCGAGCTCTACGTGGCGACATGATGAGTAGATGATCTACAAGGAAATCCAACGAAAATGGTCAGGGTTTTGAGCAAGAAATCGACCAAAACATTACAAAATATGGCTAGAACAGTGCATGCAACGTTACAGGTGAAGAAAATTAATATTTGAAAGAAAAGAGGGAAATCAAACTTACCAAATCCTAGTGCAATCTCCTCAAACCGAAGCACAACCCAAATCAGAAACGAAGAGAAGAAGAAGAGGTGAAGAACTGGTCGAAAATCGCTCGAAAATCGCCCAGGAATCGCCCAAAAAATCACCAAAATCCGACGTGAAAAAGCCCTAAAACCCTAAGTCCGAGTTTTATACTCGCTGGCTCGCAACGCGAGACAGAAAATCCTGTCTCACTCAGCGAGACAGAAAACACTGTCTCGCTCAGCGAGACAGACAATACTGCCAAAATCCGACGTGAAAAAGCCCTAAAACCCTAAGTCCGAGTTTTATACTCGCTGGCTCGCAACGCGAGACAGAAAATCCTGTCTCACTGAGCGAGACAGAAAACACTGTCTCGCCGAGCGAGACAGAAAACACTGTCTCGCCGAGCGAGACAGCATATTTTGTCTGGCTGAACGAGACAATGAACCCTCTCTGTATCGCATTGCGACGCAGACGAATACTCCAATAGGTACACGAGTTTAAACTGTATTCCTACCCTCAACAGGAAGTTTCTGGAGAATATTAATCTGAATATTCTTAAGGATAACCTGATGAGCTCTCAATGGATATGTCAATTCAGTGATAAAAGCTGAACCCACTTCAATTCAAGATCTCGATAACGGTCAAGCGATAAACGCGACGCCGGGAGAACATTAGCTATTCTACGAAGAACTGAATAGTACTGAAAAGCAGAAAAGATCAAGCATTGAAGCCCACTTTACAAGCCTTCCACCACGATCTACTCAGCCAGAGCCATTGAAGGGATCGTAAGTAAAATCTATTCCTTATCCAAAGTATCCCAGCTCCTCTATAAAACAATGAGATCTGTAAATACTTTGGAGGGATCTGTAGGCCGTCAAAAAAATCGCTAATAGATATCCCAAACATAAAGGAAGAATCACTCAAAATTCACAAGAAAGGATTTCATACTGTTTTTGGAAAAATATCAAAAACAAGTATGAACTGTTCTCAGCCAGCGAGACAGTATTTGCTGTCTCGCCAGCGAGACAGTATTTGCTGTCTCGCCAGCAAGACAGTGTTGAAATGGTCAAAACCACCTTTGTAACTACCCTACACGTGTCCATTAACTGCCAAGGGACGTGGGAAACATCGTGGGCGAAAATCACGTGGATAACTGCCAAAATAACAGAGTTTGAAACGTGGGAGAACAGTTACAGCGAGAAACTGTTATTTTCCGAGACAGTATTTACTGTCTCGCTGGGCGAGACAGCAAATTTACTGTCTCGCGGGTCGAGACAGCAAACACTGTCTCGCCCCAGCGAGACAGCAAACACTGTCTCGCCGTACTGATTTCTATGATTGCTGAGTTTTTGCAGTTACAGACCCTTGAGGCTATAAATACCCCCCTAGGGTCATTTCTGACGAGGATCGAGCATTTGTTAGAGCATTCCAGAGCAGAGAGAGCAGAGATCTAAGTTCTTGGAGCAACTCCTTGAAATTAAGCCTTGACTTGATTTTAAGAAGAACGACTATCTTACTTCGATAAGATATCGTTTCAATTTCTAACTTCGATAACGAAGGAAGAATCAGTAAACCCCTCTTCACGATCTGTGATTCGGTGGTCCACGAGCTAACGCGCTCCCGGCACAGGCAAAGTCCCACAAAAACAGTAGTTGATAAACAGCTATTGTGTTATTTTCTCAAAAGTTATAATTTTTGCTTTGTTGTGTAGAAAAGATCTTATAAAAAGATTATTCTTTCGAATTTGTTGTAATCGAAATAATTTTTGCTTTGTTGTGTAGAAAAGATCTTATAAAAAGATTATTCTTTCGAATTTGTTGTAATCGAACAAAGTTATAATGAATTCCACAGCAGAACTGACTTTTGGCGAAAACAAGCTGCAGCTAACATATTTGAAGTGCAAGCACATAAAACTACCCATATTGATTTGGAGAATAAGACATGCACTTACCGTGCTTGGGACGTCATGCAGATTCCGTATAAACATGCATGTGCATTCATCTCGTACATGAAGAGAGACATTTACCAATATTGCGATTTGTTTATGTCCACAGAAGCATTTAAAAAGAGCTATGACCTGATTCTCTATCCTATACCAGATTATGAGAAACAAAGCATGCCAATGGATGAGATCGAGCTACTTCCACCACATACTACCAAAAGAAAGAAAAGAAATAAAACACGACGTATCAACAATCGAACAGTGTACAAACGGCCTTTGAAATGCTCTCGATGCCACTCCGAAGGCCACAACCGCGCAACTTGCAATGAACCGATTGCCGATTGATATGAGTTACGGATTTGTCAAAATACTTTTGGGTGTATGTAATACTTTTGTGGTTAACTG